ATGAAAGCCTTTAACTGATTTATTTTGAAGGCAGTCGTCCCAAATCTTCTTAAAATCTCCATCATCTGTATACAGCTCCTTAAGGTACTCAAACCAAATCACTTTAGCATTCAAAGTTACCAACAATGCAGCTCTCCTACTGAGTGCATCTACAACCTTATTCTGATATCCGGATTTATGCTTCAAAATAAAGGTGAAACACTGCTGATATGCAATCCAACGAGCATGCATACGGTTGATGATAGTCTGACTATTAATGGTCTTCAAAGCCCGATGATCAGTGTGAAGCAGAAACTCTCCCGAGATCAAATAGTGCTCCTAATACTTCAAAGACTGAACTATGACATATAACTCCAGCTCATATGTGATCCACTTTTGCCAAGCTTTGCTGAGTTTCTCACTGTAAAAAGTAACTGGACGCCCTTCCTGAGATAAAACACTACCAATTCCTATGATGAACGCATCACAAGCAACTTCAAAGACCTTTTGAAAATCTGGAAGTGCAAGTACTGGTGCGGTGGACAATTTCTTTTTGATCAGTGCAAAGCTACGATCCGCATCGTCCCCCTAATTGAATCTGCCTTTCTTCATACACTCAGTGATAGGAACTACAATACCACTGAAGTTTCTAACAGATCTTCTGTAGAACGTTGCTAGGCCATGAAAACTATGAACTTTGCTAACTGTCTTCGACGTAGGCCAATCTCGAATAGCACAGACCTTCTCTTCATCAACATGGATGACCTCTGCGCTAACAACAAAGCCTAGGAATACAAGGCTACTGGTCATGAAGTTACACTTCTTCAGATTGATGTACAACTTATTCTCCTGCAAAACTGTTAGTACCTCCCTCAAGTGGTCCAGATGTGCAGTCTCACTCTGGCTATAAATCAGGATATTATCGAAGTAAACTACAACGAACTTACCGATAAAGGGTTTTAATACATGATTTATCAAACTCATGAAAGTGCTGGGAGCATTAGAAAAGCCAAAAAGCATTACTAACCATTCATACAGGTCTTCTTTTATCTTGAATGCAGTCTTCCACTCATCTCCTTCCCTAATCCGAATCTGATGATAACCACTCTTGAGATCAATCTTTGAGAACACTTTTGATCCAGATAACATGTCTAGCATATCTTCCAGCTGTGGGATAGGAAATCGATACTTCACTGTTATTTTATTGATAGCCCTACTCTCCACACACATGCGCCACTCTCCGTTCTTCTTTGGGACTAGTAGTGCTGGTACAGCACACGGACTCATGCTACGCCGTATAAGATCCTTCTGGATGTGATCATCCACCTACTTCTGCAAAATTTCTCCTTCCATCGGATTCATCCGATAGTGTGCTAGATTTGGTAGTCGAGATCCAGGGATGAAATCAATCTGATGTTGAACATCTCGAAGCATTGGTAATCAGAGGGTAGATCGTGAGGCATAGCTGTATCAAACTGCTGCAAGAGGGTTTGAACTCCAGGTGGAATTTCGGTTGTGGTAGAATCCTCCTTTCCTGACAAAACAAGAGCATAAACCTTGTTGGACTGCTTCACTTTTTTCATAAAATCTTCATTGTCAACGACTAAGAAAGTCTTCTTTTCAGCCACATTGGTATTGACAGGCTCCTTCTCAGTTAGAGGCTTGAGCACAATTTGTCGACCATCCTTCTTAAATATATAAACATTATCCTTTCCTCGATGTGTGGCATCAACATCAAACTGTCATAGCCTGCCTAATAAGATATGACATGCGTCCATCTCAACTACATCACATAACGCCTCATCGAGATAAGTTCGGCCAATGGAAAAGGATGCCCGACACACTTCATCAACTTATATGTTGCTACCCTTTCGAATCCAACCAATCTTGTAACTGGCGAGATGCTTCTCTATCTTTAATCCTAACTTCTCTACCATGCGTCGAGAGATAATATTCTCACTGCTCCCACTATCAATGATAACATCACAGATCTTTTGTTTCACGGTGCATCTCGTGTGGAAGATGTTATGCCTCTACAATGGCTCTTTTGTCTTTGGGGCCAATAATAGACGCCGCACAACACATGAGAATTGTTCCCCATCATCATCAGGATCCAATCCACCACCGTAGTCTTCAACTTCGTCACGGTCTGTAACTTCATCTTCATGATCCACTATGTTCACAACATCTCTTTTAGGGCACTGATTGGATTGATGACCAGGCTGTCTACATCTATAACACTTGATTGGGTCAGACTTGGCATATGGGTTCGGGGGTGTAGTCTTCTTTGCAGTTGTTATCATTGGACCCTTACCTTTCTCTATTGTAGTATCTTGATCAGAAACTGTTTGGGACTAATACCACGATTAAAGCTCGTGTGCGACCCGTCGGAAGCTGCCCATGGGCCTTTACTATTTTGTCCGAGTTGTTGCTCCACCTTCTCGGCTAGGCTAATCGTATCTGCTAAGGTATAGGTCTGTTGTAGAGATACACGATCCTGAATCACCATCTTCAACTCCCCTGTATATCAAGACATCTGTTGGGCCTCGCTCTCGTGTAAGTTATTACAGGATGATAGTCGATAGAATTCCTGTGTGTACTCATCCACGGTTCTTCTACCCTGCTAACAATTCTGGTACTGTCCGAATAAAACTTGTTCATAATCGCTTGACAAGAAACAGACTCTCAATTGCTTCTTCATCTTTTCCCACCTATCGACCTTTGGCTTTCCTTGACGAGATCGATTCAGACAAACAGATTCGCTTCTTCATCTTTTCCCACCTATCGACCTTTGGCTTTCCTTGACGAGATCGATTCAGACAAACAGATTCCCACCAAGCTGAAGCTCCACCTTGACGAGATCGATTCAGACAAACAGATTCCCACCAAGCTGAAGCTCCACCTTTGAGTCGGTAAGCCACTACTTTTACCTTCCGTTCTTCTGGGATCTCCATATACTCAAAGAATCTCTCTACTTCTGCAATCCCGTCGAGGAACTCTTCAATATGAAGTTGCCCGTTGAAAGATGACAGATCCATCTTCATCTTGAAACCTCCAGTGTCATAATTATCCCTTCGTCGTCGGTCTCTGCGATAAACACCGCGGCGTGGAGGTGCATAGGGATCTTCCTTGCTGTCGGATTCATCATATGGAGTCAGATCACGTCGTTGGCGACCATCAACGCGATTTTGAACTCTCATCGGGTTCAGACGCTCCACTGCCATCATAAGTCACTCTATGGCAGCCCTTATTTGATCACCATTGGTCTTCAGTTGCTCTACGTCGGACCTCATCACGTTGAACTCAGTTTGAGGAATAGGGGCTTCATCACCTACCATCGGATCGGAGGAACAAGGCTCTAATACCAATTGACGCAGCGCGAAAGTTGTAGCCTCGAAATCCACCAAGGACAATCTTCGAATCCACGAAGAGCTTCGAATCCACGAAGTAAATATTGAAGAAAAACCAAGGACAATCTTCGAATCCACGAAGAGCTTCGAATCCACGAAGTAAATATTGAAGAAAAACAAAATTTTATTAATCAAAAGTTCACGAAGAGCTTCGAATCCACGAAGTAAATATTGAAGAAAAACAAAATTTTATTAATCAAAAGTTATGCATTCAGGGCTTACAAGACACTTCTTAAATAGAAAAAAAGAAACAAGACTCTTACAAGGACTCAAACTCTACCCACAAATAGTAAAAGAATTCCTAAAATATTAAAACTCCTAAAAAAAAACTCATTATTACTAGGAAAGCCCACCGGTCAAATCTGAGATCGAATCGGATTTGTTTCCTAAACAAAACAGACTCCTAAAATATTACTAAAAATAGTAAAAAAAACAGACAAAAATATAAATATCTCTCAAATTGTAAGGAATTTGACGAAACGAAAAACGCAAACCGAACCCAAAGGGGTGGGTTTGGATGGCTCCGTCTCGTTGAGATAATCAATTTTCATATATAATTCGTCCAATTCTGACGTACGGTTTGAAAGTTACGGCCGTTTCTTCGAAACTAGTTATTTTCTTTGACCAGGCCCGCATTTGGGCTTGCGTCTTTCCCACTTTGACATAAACATGTCTGCTGTGTGTTCTACATCACTTATGTTGGATTCGTCAAGGATTTCATCATCGCCAAAAAGAAAGTGAGAGTTCTTTTCCAAAGAAAACTTGAATGGATTCTAGAAATTAGTAATGTCTTTTTTATTTGAGTCATTATTAATATGCATGCGCCACCGCAAGTAAAAACCATGAAAAATTAACCTCGCAGGTCTTGGTCATATTGATCTTTTTTTTTATCGCGTCTTTGACGCACACGGGAATTGAAACCAGACCCTACACAAGAGAGTAACATGACTTTGTCATGTGATCTACTAGGTGGTCCAGATGTTACCTAAGATCGTCCAGCTCGTATTGCTCATCTAATGACCGAAAAATATAGTTGCAAATTGTTGTAATTTGTAAACATAGTTAAGAGTTACAATTACCACAGTTTGCTTCTCAATTAAATTTGTGAGGTACCGAACAATCCCTATTGTTGTAAAAGAAAGTAGTAGTTCTAGCAAGATAAACAGTTAATTTCATTTGATTTTTGTAAATTATAAATAGAATGGAAACTATAATCTTCTAGGAACCAAATAGCCAATGATCAGATTGGAACTGAAAACTATGTATACGGAAATTTTAGTAGAACTAAGTATGAACAATGAAATGAACCCTTAAAATGAACAATGAAATGAACCCTTAAAAATACATTCTGCGTCCTCACTTTTCTCTTAACTTCTTATTTTGCGCTTCCTCCTAATCTGAGGCACTTCTAATACAATTACACGCCGCCCCACAGAACGCCGTACATCTTAAAAAGAAAGATATGCCCTTGACATCCATATTTCCGTCTACGTGGCATGCACCGAAATCAAGAATAGAAGATATACAACCAATAATATCTTTATATAAATTATAATTTAAAACTTAGCTTACATTCTCACTGTGATAAGCAAATTAGATAGGATATACAACTGAAGGAAACCTGTCCTGTAAAGATGAAGTACCATGATGAAGGAGTACATAATGATGCATACATAGGTAACACAGAGCAACAATCTGTTACATTATTTGAAGGCCGGATCAATTGGTTACAGAGATTGGTATCCTTCACCATTTTTTCGGCTATAGCTCATGCGGATGATGACCACAGCAATCACGCCAACTACAAGAAATGCCCACCAATATTCTCTTAAATCCTCCCTCCCTGCAACCCCACCAATATTCATGTCATTGATCATATTATATAGCACATATAGACATTCCATAAAAAATAAAAATAAAAAGACATCCTTTGGCAATCCGCAACTTTGTATGGTGGTTTTTTATCCGTACTAGTTCAAAATGTTGAAACTTTTGTTGTCGTGTGTGTTTATTAAGGTCAAAGAGCTACAAATGGTATCACCATATCTCACGACAATTCATTTTACTTGATAAGCACTAGCTCACCATTTTTAATAAAAGGAAAATTGTATATGAGCTGACAGCTCATTTTACAAAAGGATTATCAGTCCTATGCATGACATGTGAGCCTTTTACTAGTCATATCATATTGATGTGAGGACTTATATGTCAAAGAGCTGACACCCCATTTTGCCCAGTGGCCTCTTTTATAAATCTCACAACCAATTACAACTTCACAAGAAAACGAAATTAGAAAGAATGCTTACATGATAAAGTTAGGTCGTGGAAGAGCAATCTGGACTTTGGAGGCGCTTGTGGTCCAGCTACAAGGATGTAGAATAGTCCCATAACTCCGGTGTGCATTTGTGCGCTGCTATAGTTGGATACAAGAGTCAGAGTCTCTCCATCTGCAACCTTTACAGAGCCTGGCTTTGGATAGCATGTTGACATTCCTACAATGTACCCATCCTCATTCCCTGCTTCCTCTCCGTTTCCGTAGGTTGGGACTGAAGTGCATAAGTCCCTTCCATCCTAAGGGGTAGAGGGGGAAAAAACCATCATAATTTCTAATAATGAAAATTTATTTTGATTGATATCATAATTTGGTATTTGGACAATCCAATATGAAACTCTTGGTATCATCTCTCTAGTTGTATGACACAACAGTCTGATGGAGTAGCTGCGGGCCATCTCAGGGTACAATTAGTTTGATAGCATGATAAATAATTTGGCTCAGAGTTTTGTAGAAAACAATACATGTATGGATTGATAACAAAGTTTTATGGAGTTTTATAATTTGAGACCAACCTAATAATAGAACACGTGGAAACAAATGCAAATAAATGGGCACTTCCAATCCCTCTTATATGGAGACTGTTGCGCGCCGTGTGGAAGCATGCTCGACAACTAAACGAGTCGGTGAGCGATGAGAGAAGAAAACCAAAACCAAACACGAGTGCAATTCACAAAATAACGACCAAAATCACACACAAACACAGGAATTTACGTGGTTCGGCAATTGCCTACGTCCACGGAGAGAGGATGAGGAGATTTCACTATATGGAGGAGAAATACAACGGGTTACAACTCACAAAATCACTCAAATATAACCCTAACCAAAGCTCTCAACTCCCTCACAATATCTCCCTCTCAAAGTGCTCAAAACAATGTTAATTCTCTCCTTAAGAAACCCTAAAAAACGTGGTTCTATTTATAACAAAACACAATCCCAAATAGATTAGGATTCTAAAAACGAGTCTGCCACACCCATGGTAAACATGGCAGATTCTACCACACCAAGGCAGATTCTACCACATCCATGGCAAACAGGGCAGATTCTACCACCGGTGTGGCAGACACCATACGTGGAGTCTGTTTTGCTTATTCTTCACGTTTTTCTCAATTCCTTTGCCATTTTCACAGAGACTATCTATTGTCACGTAAACTTGTTGAATCGGGGACTATATTATAATTGTGTAAGTATATACACGACATCTATCCAACAGATTCCTTTTTCATTTATTTATTTATATACTTTTACTAAAACAATTCAGCTCGGAGTTTTGTAAATAACAAAATCAGACATGATTACAAAGTGCAAAGGTTTAAGAAAAGTTATATGATGCACATTAAACTACTAATAAACACATTCAAATATAAAGGCATTTCTCAATCCTGAAACTACCGATTGTCAAGTATATAAACTTTGTTAATTTGGACTATTTTTTTTTTTTAACTTGATAAGTATTTACACAACATTCCACCACCACAAATTTTTTTATTTATAAAATTTTTATTAAAATAATTTCAATGTTTAACAAGAGAAAAAAATGACAAAATTCAAGCAACACACAAACACAAATTAACGCAGAAGACCATGATGTCTTGCTCAATTACTACTTGGTTATTGGGCATCTGATCTAGTAATGCTGTGGAAATCTATAGACGTGGTTAGCCATTGGTACCCCACTGAGCTAAACATGTTTGTTCTCCGCATCTACTTCTATGTTCTGTTCACACCTTTTTCAATGAAACACTAGCATTTTTAAAGGGATGGAGTGCTCTTGAAAAAATGAACAAAATGCTCCTTGATGCAAAATGGGTAAAAGTAAACGTAGATGTGTTTTAAATGCGAAAGTTAAGAGTGTAAAACTAAAACCCACAACCCTAATTCAGAAGTCACAGGATCCTTTGGTCTGGTACCAAGGACCCTTTGATATGGTACTAGAGGCTTTGATATCAGAGCAAGAGAGGCTCAATTTCCAACGTAAAACAGAATTAAAAAAAATTGACACTGCTATGTGAGTGAGTCCAAGATTCACCAAAAAAAATAGCACTCCGCTCATAGATCCAGCCATTGTTAGTCTAAGGTGTAGACCCAAAGTTCGAGATGAAAGCTGGAATCAAAAGGACGAGAAAACGAGCAGACAGATCTGCGGTCGACCGGGTCGGTCGACCGCGAACGTGCACAAGAGCTGGGAGAGCTTGGATCAGGTCGCGGTCGACCGGGTCGGTCGACCGCCAAAACCCTGTAGGAAAACTACTCTCGGGTTTTGCCATCGGTCGACCGCGCCAGTCGACCGCCAAACTCTCTGGAATGTGATCGGTCGACCGGGCCGGTCGACCGCGAGTAGTTTTGGCAGTTTCCTGTTCCTTTTGGGGTTCTGTTTCAACCAGAATTCTATATATATCCCAAACGATTTTAGGGTTTGTACTACATCAAAAAGAGAGCTTTTGACTACAAATAGAGAGAGAATTTCAGAGAGATTAATCCCTTGTTTGAGAGCTTGTATTTTCTTCTTCAATTAATAAAGAGATTGTGTGGTGTGGCTCCCGAGGACGTAGGCACGTTGCCGAACCTCGTTAAATCTGTGTGTTCATCTCCTTTACTGTTTTTTGCGAGTTAGATCTTTATTTGTGGCTTTATTCCTACTTTCCTACTTTCAACACAAGGTCCGGAAGGACAAGGGTTCAATTGATTGTTTCGAATCCCCAACAACTGGTATCAGAGCTTCGTTCAGCAATTTGTGTGAAAGCCATGGAAGAGGAAAGCAAATCAAAGATCGAGAAGTTTGACGGTTCAGACTTCGCCTACTGGAAGTCGCAGATGGAGGACTATCTGTACTAGAAGGACTTGTATCGCCCGTTGATGGGCAAGGAAAAGGGAAAGAAGAAAGAGGAGTCAGATGGTGATTAGGAGGTACTGGATAGGAAGGCTCTAGGGCAAATCCGGTTGTCGCTCGCGAAATCAGTAGCCCACAATATTCTGAAGGAGAAGACGACGGTGGGGCTTATGGAAGCGCTCGCGAAGATATACGAGCAACCGTCAGCAGCAAACAAGGTACATCTAGTCAAAACTCTTTTCAACCTCAAGATGGCAGAAGGACGGTCCTTCACGATGCACCTCAGCGAGTTCAACACGATTGTTGATCAACTTATCTCTGTGAACATCACGTTCGATGACGAAGTGCAGGCCCTTCTACTACTATCGCAGTTGCCGGATAGTTGGGCACGTTGTGTGACGTCAATCAGCAATTCGGCGGGGAAAGAGAAGTTGAAGCTGAATGAGGTTGTTAGCATGATTCTATCCAAGGAGGTTAGAAGGAAATCGTCCGAATCAGAAGGTTCAGGTTCAGCCCTAAGTTTCGAGCAGAGAGGCAGAAGCCAGAAGAAAGGAAATCAGAATAGGAATCGGTCGAAATCAGAATAGGAATCGGTCGAAATCAGAATAGGAATCGGTCGAAATCAGTGAAGAAGAGGCCGAACTCGAAGGTTAGGTCTATCAAAGGGAAGTGTTGGAACTGCGGCCAGGAGGGCCTTATGTCTTCGGTCTGTAAAGCACCAAAGAAGGATGCGGGTGAGCAGGAGGCTCATATCGTGCAGGATGCCTTGATCCTTGCTATGGATAGCGATTCTGATTCTTGGGTCATCGACTCAGGAGCTTCTTTCCACGCCACTGCTAATAGGAAACTACTTCAGAACTATGTAGCAGGGGACTTTGGTAAAGTATATTTGGGGGATAATAAACCTTACAATATTGTTGGAAAGGGCGACGTTCAGATACAGATAAAGGGCTCTAAGTAGAATTTGAAGAATGTAAGACACGTGCCGAAGCTGAAGAGGAATCTTGTTTCGGTGGGACAGCTTGGAGCAGAAGGCTACGTTTCAACATTCACCGGGGATTCGTGGAGAATCTCCAACGGTACTATGGTTGTTGCCCAAGGTAATAAAACATGAACTCTCTACCTCACTTCACATGCGAGTGACACCCTCGCAATTGCACCTGGCAAGGAGAGTACAGATCTGTGGCACAATAGGTTGGGACACATGAGTGAGAAGGGAATGAAAATTCTACATTCACAAGGAAAGCTAACCGGGATCGACGCCGTGGAAGTCGGAGTTCGTGAAGACTGCATCTTTGGGAAGCAGAAGAGGGTTAGTTTCCAGAAGGGTGGAAGGCCACCTAAGGCTCAGAAGCTAGAGTTAATTCATACAGATATATGGGGCCCAGCCAGTGTGTCTTCTTTTGGCGGTTCGAGATACTACGTCACATTTATCGATGATCACTCGAGGAAGGTGTGAGTTTACTTCATGAAGCACAAGTCAGAGGTGTTCGAAATCTTCAAGAAGTGGAAGGCCATGGTCGAGAACGAGACAGATCTGAAGGTGAAGTGCTTGAGATCAGATAATGATGGAGAATACGAGCTGGAGGAGTTCAAGAGGTTCTGTGCTACGAATGGGATTCGCTTAGAGAGGACTACTCCAGGGACGCCGCAGCAGAATGGCATTACAGAAAGAATGAACAGGACCTTGACATAGCGTGCGCGGAGCATGCGACTACATGCAGGTCTGCCTAAGACATTTTGGGCGGATGCGGTGCATACGGCAGCCTACCTAATTAATCACGGGCCATCAGTTCCATTAGATTTTGGGATTCCAGAGGAGGTTTGGAGTGGAAAGAAGATAAATCTCTCACATTTACGGGTATTTGGTTGCGTGGCTTATGTTCATATCAGTGACCATGTCAGGGACAAGCTAGAAGCTAAGTCACAGAAGTGCACATTCATTGGATACGACATTGATGAGTTCGGATATCGCCTTTGGGATGAAAAGAACAGGAAGATCATCAGGAGCCAGGATGTGATATTCAATGAGGAGGTGATGTACAAGGACAGGTACAATACCAAGGATAGCCAAAGCAGAGGGAGCAGCACTACGGATACAGGTGGATCCAAGTACATGGATTTAGAGGAACTTCTAGATGGGGGCGACGATGTCATTTCTGACCGTAGAACGGAGGAGACTACATGTGCAGAAGCTACTACCCAGGGCGTGGAGCTTAGGGGGTCATCCAGGGTACCCAAACCAAATCTCAAATACCTCTCGTCACTTGATTATCTACTCTTAACAGATAGCGGAGAGCCGGAGTGTTATGAAGAGGCAGTGCAAGTGAGTGAATCTCAGCAGTGGGAGCATGCGATGCAGGAGGAGATGGATTCTCTACTCACTAATGAGACATGGGAGTTAACCCAGCTACCTGCACAGAAGAAAGCCTTGCACAATAAATGGGTCTACCGGGTCAAGCAGGAGAGTGATGGAAGCAAGAGATTCAAGGCCAGATTAGTCGTGAAGGGGTTTCAACAGCGGGAAGGAGTTGACTACACGGAGATATTTCCCCTGTTGTGAAACTCACAACCATCAGAGTGGTGTTGAGTTTGGTAGCTGCAGAAGACCTCTTCCTTGAGCAGTTAGATGTGAAGACTGCCTTTCTTCATGGTGACTTGGATGAAGAAATCTACATGAAGCAACCTGTTGGCTTCATTGAAGAAGGAAAGGAAGAGATGGTGTGCAAGCTCAAGAAGAGCTTATATGGTTTGAAACAGGCTCCGAGACAGTGATATAAGAAGTTTGATAACTTCATGCAGAACAATAGCTACAGAAGATGCAATTCGGATCATTGCTGTTATTTCAAAAGATTTGAGTCCAGCTTCATTATTTTTTTATTATATGTTGATGACATATTGGTAGCAGGACCGTGTTTAGAAGAGATAAACAGTTTGAAGAGACAGCTAACAAAGGAATTTGCAATGAAGGATCTGAGTGCAGCGAAGCAGATTCTAGGGATGAGAATCAGTAGGGATGAAGCTGAAGGGACATTGAGATTGAGCCAAGCTGAATACATTGAGAAGGTACTTCAGAGGTTCAACATATAGAATGCTAAAGTTATTAGCACACCCCTTGAAAGTCAGTTCAAGCTATCTGAGGAGCAATCACCTAAGACAGATGCAGATAGAGAGCATATGAGCAGGGTCAGGTTGTCATATTCTTTGGGCATTAGGAGTCTCATGTACGCGATGGTTTGCACGAGGCCGAACATCGCCCATGCAGTGGGAGTTGTGAGCAGATTTGCAAGCAACCCAGGAAAGCAGCATTGGGAGGCCGTGAAGTGGATAATGCGGTACTTGAGGGGAACAACGAACAAGCAACTATGTTTCAGGAGGAAGGAGTTGGTGCTGCAGGGATACGTGGATGCGGACTTCGCCGGTGATCATGATACGAGGCGAAGCACCACGGGGTATGTTTATACCTTAGTGTCGACAGCAGTGAGTTGGGTCTCACGTCTGCAGAAGATTATGACTTTGTCTACAACCGAGGCTGAGTATGTCGCGGTGACTGAAGCAAGCAAGGAGATGATCTGGTTGAACGGGTGCTTGGAAGAGTTGGATCTGAAGCAAGGGAGAGGAGTTCTTTATTGTGATAGCCAGAGCGCTATACATCTTGCCAAGAATCCAGTATATCATGCCAGAACGAAGCACATCGACGTCAAATACCATTTTATACGCTCGCTGATCGAGGACGGAAAGTTGCATTTAATGAAGATTTTGGGGAGTCAAAATCCGGCGGACATGTTGACGAAGGCAGTCACCATTAAGAAACTGGAGTTATGCGCAACTTCAGTTGGCCTTCACGAATAGAAGACGAAGGCGAAGCCACACTACGAGGATCGGCGAGATCGTCGAGATATTGTTGATTGAAAGAAGAATTTTTTCGGGGAAAAGATACATGCGAAGAAGGGGAGAGTTCGAGGGAACTCATTGCAGGCACTTTGGTCTCCAAGTGGGAGATTGTTAGTCTAAGGTGTAGACCCAAAGTTTGAGACAAGAGCTAGAATCAAAAGGACGAGAAAACGAGCAGACAGATCATCGGTCGACCGAACCGGTCGACCGCCAAACTCTCTGGAATCTGATCGGTCGACCGGGCCGGTCGACCGTGAGTAGTTTTGGCAGTTTCCTGTTCCTTTTGGGATTCTGTTTCAACCAGGATTCTATATATACCCCAAACGATTTTAGGGTTTGTACTACATCAAAAAGAGAGATTTTGACTGCAAATAGAGAGAGAATCTCAGAGAGATTAATCCATTGTTTGAGAGCTTGTATTTTCTTCTTCAATTAATAAAGAGATTGTGTGGTGTGGCTCCCGAGGACATAGGCACGTTGCCGAACCTCGTTAAATCTGTATGTTCATCTCCTTTACTGTTTTTTGCGAGTTAGATCTTTATTTGTGGCTTTATTCCTACTTTCCTACTTTCAATACAAGGTCCGGAAGGGCAAGGGTTCGATTGATTGTTTCGAATCCCCAACAGCCATGTTAGATTATAAAACTATTACCCTCAACTTCAGAGTTGTGATTGTGAATCTCAGTTCAATGATAAATGTCAGTCTTAATGCAGATTTATAATAGTATCCACCTGGCCATAGAGGGCAGAACCCAGTCCACCTGAGTGCTGGTGGGCAACTCCATAGACAATATCGCCTCCACGAGGAATGACCACACTTGTCTTCCTGGTATCAAGACATTCTCCATCCTGTACCACTTCTGGAGCACATGAATCAACTCGGTACTCCACCTACATTAATCCGTAATTCATTAGAGCGGATAGTTCAACTATAAATAGTTGTATGATAATCTTTTCCCATAATAGCACTGTGTTAACTAAAAAAGAAACTGTTTTGAAGAAAGTGTGGTAATTTCCTATGCAAAACATAAGCGGGGAGTATGAATGATATATATAGGATCATATATGGAGTTGAAAGAAAACAAATAAAGGGGAATAAATAAGAGTTGAGACTCTCAGGTAGTGAATGGAATATCGTAGCTCTTGGACTTCCTGAAGCTCAAGAAAATGCCCGATTCAGACAAAACATCACAGCAAATGTTAAGGAAAAATGTGACAAAAAAGAATGAAATAATGGCAATATCACAAATGGTCTTCTCGTTTAATGATTATTTTTTTATAATTTTCATCGCGTCTGCAATGTCGAAATGTCAGTCCTTTGAAACTGATTAAAATTTTATATACTATGCATACCTTGCAACTAGAAGGTTGGCCTTCCGATACCTTCCCTGTATCAGTGACATCGAATATGTAAATCTTGACAGGCACTATGCTCTCATCCCACCGTGCCCACTTCACAGTATACCTCAGGTATAGTTTCCTGGCCTCGGCACCGTTAAACCCGTCCCTTAATTGGCATCGAGTCTTATCATAGCAGCAAAGGAGCCCTCCAATATAATCTTTCCTCAAAGGATGCCCGAATTCATCAACAGTCACGTTGTAAAGACTACACTTGCACTCGGTGCACCCTGAACGATCCTTCACCCCTCTCGTATCTATAGCATGAATATTCAACAACCATCTCTCCTCATACCCACTAGGAATCTTCTTCGGGTCCCCAACTTCTATACCAAAAGGTTCAGGGACCCAAGTTGAAGTTTTTCGTGTTTCCGAGCCGAGTCCAAAGTACTGGCCGAGGGTTTCCTCGCAAACCCCGGAATTTCTTGCCAGAATAATTTTCGAAAGGTCATGGTCAGATTGAGTTGCCTTCTCCCCGTAGTATCTCTCTATAACCCAATGATGAAGATAGGTCTCATGAAGAGGGACTGGGACTCCATTTTCGTCTACGACTTCTGCATCAAAACTTTTGAGGGCAATGTGGCCTCTTGGAAAAGGGATATTGAAAAGAAACTCGTTCGCCACTGAACCTGGTCGTAGAAAAAAAGGAGGGGAGAGAAACACAGAAGTTTGGAGGACTGAGTAATCATTTTTCTCAGGGGTCCTCAATGCATGCTGAGATTTTGCTAGCAGCAAGAGCAGTAGTGAAGATACCCACAGCTGAGAGTGCCGCATTCTGGCTGAAAAGGGAAGCAAATGGGTGTCATCAATTGCAAGGGAAAACACGGAACTAAATTTCGAAGTTCAAACATGCAACCTAGCTATTTCAAATTATAATCGGAACAAAAATAAACAGTGAAAAAAATCAAAGTGCCATTAAGAAGAGACAAGAGAACGGTCTCTATATGAGTGCACTGTCACAAAGGGCCCCGTCAATAGAAGTATCAAGTTCTCATATAATACAAAGCTCTTCCTTATTCTGTCTATTAGCTGGAGGCGTATCAAGCCAAATCTATCGGTTGGCGGGGAGCAGTGTATTAAGTTTGTCAAGTACTAAACCGATTTAAGATAATCTGTTGCAAGATATACTAGGCGTAGATCTGACCATATCATAATAATTATTTAAAAAAAAAATAGTAAAACTAGACTTTTGGTAACAGTCATTGCTTAGGGCTGCTGGAAAAGGATTCTTGCTAAAAGGGACAACAAAATCTGATAGGGAGGATATCAAATAGGCCATTACCTTTAACCTATATCGCTTATTCTTGTCACGTGCCTATGCGGAAGCGTGCTCGCTCACCAAACAAGTCGTAAGCACGGGAGAAGAATAACCAATCACACACGAGCACAATCCGAAACTGAAATACAACGGATCAATCACAAACACAGAGATATACGTGGTTCGGCAATTTGCCTACGTCCACGGGAAGAGGATGTGGAGATTCCACTAAATCAAGGAGAGTACAAAGAGTTACAATCTCACAAACTCACAAACTAACCCTCAACCAATACTCTCAACTTGCTCACAATATCTCCCTCTCACAATGCTCAAAAGTCTCTCTAATCTCTGATTACAACTCTCCTCTTTTTGATGATCATAATCTCTTCTAAGAAGTTCCATATATATAGAAAACCTAAAACCAAAACAGACTAGGAATTCTAAAGCAAAAAACAAAACAAATTAAAAATCCTAATAACCAGTTATGAAAACAGATTAAGAATCATGTTACCAAAATAGATTAGGAATCCTAATAACATGTTATCAAAACAGATAAGAAACCTGTTATCTAACAATTCTGATTGAGAGGCTAGAGCACTGATATTCTTTTTTTCTTTCTTTTTTTTTTGGTGTGGGTGGGTGGGTGGGTGGCGTGTGTGTGTGTGTTGTGGGGGCGGGGGGGGGGTCGTGGCTCTTGCATTTTGATAGTCATCATTTGCTTCTTAAATTATACTTACCTGAAAAATTTTAAATAAAAAACAAGGACAATGGTCCATGATACAATCAGAGATAAATTTGGCGAGACAGTCCTTGTGCTCCTGATGTTGTTTCAGAAAATTGAAAATGTTTCTTTTGGCAGCAATGGGCTTCTGCAATCAATAATTGCACATCACACCGCTGGCAGTCACTTCTGCGTCAGCCTGCCCCTATGTACTTCTCCGTCACAGAGCCAATTCAAATTTGGATTCATCTGTTAGGCATCTCCAACGCATAACCCTCCAAATTTCAGCCCTTCCAAATTGGAATTTCTAGAATATTCTAATTTTGGAGGGTGAAATTTGGAGGGTTGCTCACAACCCACACTCTCCAAATGTTTTTCTTTTTATTTTTTTTTCATTAAAAAAGCATTATAAATAAATAATATGTGGATATGTTTAAGTTAATAATTTTATTGTTAATAATTTATATTTGGTAAAAAATTTATAACATTATAAAGGTGTCGATCGAGAGTTTAAAAATAGATCCTCGTGATTTTAAAATTTCATCGTCTGATACTTATTTTATTTATTAAAAATTAATAATTTTATAATAATACTAAAAATAATTAATCTTAGTTTCATTTTAAAGATCTTAACGAGCCCTTTCCAAAATATATATGATTTCAAATATTAGATTAATAATTTTTTAACTATATTTATTTATTTGAAATTTAACATTTTAATTGTTAAATTACTAAGGAAGGATGCAAAGTGGTAATTTTTAAGAAATATCAAATAGTAAAAAATGGTATAAATTGTAATTAATAAACGGCATGAATAGTGTTATGAGAGACGCACCCTCTTTTTTCTCACTCACCCTCTAAATTTGGAGGTCAAATTTGGAGATCTCCAAATTTGGATAGTGGTTGGAGAGGTTCCAGCTCTCCTAAATTTGTGAAGTTTTGGGAGTATATAGACCGGTTGGAGATGGTCTTAAGGACTCTTAAACCATAGTGGGCTCATAGCATAGGGACCACGAGATGAAACCTTTGACAACACAACAAAAAGATTGATGAACTTCCTAATTTGAATAAAAGAACATGAAAAAAAAGTAGAAGAAACATCTGGCGTCTACTGATGGGTTTTTAAAGAAGAGTCTTAGCACCACTTGTCAAACTAAAAATGGAGATAAACCCAGTATATGAAATGATAACTCCTTGTGCTACATTAAAAAAAAGTAAAATTGCACTTAACCAGAATGTTTCCTTCTTTTTGATAGGAAAAAAATATTTACGAGCACTGTAGATTTTGAGTTTCTAAATATGAAATGTGGGCGCAGCTTTAGTAATCAACATACCACGGCAAAGCAGTGCGCTAGCTCATGGGGAGCCTTGTTTTGATTTTCATGTGCGCCGTAAATACCCAGTAGTTATGGTTGTTGCTATGTACGTCCAAAAACATATTTTTCTTTTAAAAATAAATATAAAATGTGGCTTCCCCTTTCTATTGTAAGGAATGTGTCGGTTTGCCGCTCAAAAAAATGAGGAAAACACCCGCCACCTCACAATTTCAAAGAAATCCCCCATGTGCCACATAGGTTTTTGGTTTCAAAGGTTTTCCCATTCTTCAGTTCGGTTTCGTTTGAAAATTTAAGAGAAATAAACGACACGTAGGATCCACATCACATTTTTAAGAATGTCGTTTTACACAAACAAAAACCTCTGAAAACACTTGGAAACATGTCAAAGTCAATGGAATTTTTAATATTTAAAAAGCACTGTTGGAACAATGAATGCGAATTAAACAAGATTATTTAAATGTTTCACATTCTCCATTTCCCTATTTTTTTGTTCAACACGAACACAAGAAATAGAAAACACATGCACTGTTACTATTGCAGGCTTTTTTGTCTCTTTATGTGACATTGCGCGGTTTCAAATGGTGATTTCTTTGCGAAACGAACACAAAAAATGAGAATGCTGAGAAAAATCTGAAATGTCATGATATCAATGAAATGTGACATTTTTCATTTCTTGTTTTTCGGAAAACAAGCCGAAGCGGCCCTAAAGAATATTGAAATAATAAAACCGCCCTCTATAGATTTGGTCTAGTTAACATGAAATGATGCCATTTCTAATATTCTAAACCAATTTTTTCGCTTTAGAAATGAAGCAAAAATTCATTGGCAAAGATTACTACTCTTAATTCATAGAAAAATAGTGCAATTGATTCAGAAAAAAAAATGGCATATAAGATCTTAAGACTTAAATATCGTAAAGACAAAGTTGCTAACAGGATTGAAGGCCGCCCATCTCATTCAATAAAAAAATTTACTACTCTCGTAATCCCTACAAACAAATAAACTATCTCAGTCAAGTTGCCACTCCAAATATATATAATATAATATATATATATATATATATATATAATTCTTTTAGGTCATAGAACAAGTTTGCCCAACATCGCCAATTCACACCGAGTAAATTGAAGAAACCCAAATCATGTAATCCTCAACATTAATTTCTCCCATTATTTTGCAACATAAATATCCAAATCATCGTCTACCAAGATTAAATACAAGTTCCTGAGGATTATAAAGTATGGCCTTTCCTAAACGTGAGAATTTTCTTGCGGAAACCCAAATGCTGCCCAGTTGCTCCCCAATTCTTTGAAATCTCTTCTT